GCTACTCATCTGTGACTGTCCCCCAGATGCTGGCCATGCTGCTGGAGCACAGGGCAGCTTTATCCTACACACGCTGTGCTGCTCAGTTCTTCCTGTTCACCTTTTTTGGTTCCATTGACTGCTACCTCCTGGCCCTCATGGCCTATGACTGCTACTTGGCTGTGTGCCAGCCCCTGCTTTATGTCACCATCATGACACAGCAAGCCCGCTTGAGTCTTGTGGCTGGGGCTTACGTTGCTGGTCTCTTCAGTGCCTTGGTGCGGACAGTCTCGGCCTTCACTCTTTCCTTCTGTGGAGCCAATGAGATTGACTTTATTTTCTGTGACCTCCCTCCTCTGTTAAAGCTGGCCTGTGGGGACAGCTACACTCAGGAAGTGGTGATTGTTGTGTTCGCCATTTTTGTCATCTCTGCCTCCATGGTGGTGATCTTGGTGTCCTATTTGTTTATCATCGTGGCCATCATGAGGATTCCCTCTGCTGGAAGCCAGGCCAAGACCTTCTCCACCTGCACCTCCCACCTCACTGCTGTGTCACTCTTCTTTGGTACTCTCATCTTCTTGTACCTCAGAGGTAACTTGGGCCAGTCTTCGGAGAAGAATCAGGTAGTGTTTGTGCTTTACACAGAGGTCATCCCTATGTTAAATCCCCTCATCTATAGCCTGAGGAACAAGGAAGTAAAGGAGGCCCTGAGAAAATTTCTCAATAGAGTCAAGTTGTCCTAACCATCTCCAAACTTGGAAAATCCTGAGAACCACCTACTCTGTAGTGTCAGTGTTCTGGATGCTCATTATTTATAGCATGCTCAATGTTTAAATGAATATATTATGGCACAAGGTGTAAAAAAGAACCAGAACTTTTGCAGGGAGAGGAAGAAAGACAAGGAAAAGTCAGTCTGAAAAGAGATTGGAGTGGGAGTCTTGACTCCCAGGACAAGTGACAAAAGGATTTGAAATTAAATCCTGTGAAATTAAATCCAAATGTGGCGCAACTCACCTGTCTATGATTATAACAGTAGTTTTTTTAAATATAAATTTTAATGAAAGATTTTCATTATATAGAAATGTTAAAAGTAATGTATAATAGATTTCCTATAGTCAGTACTAAGATTGTTTAATTGCTAATATTTGCTATCTTTATTTGGTTACATAGATGTAGTCTATCCATGAGTTTATTCATCAATCAATTCACTCATCAAACCACCTTTTTTCAACATTTCAAGGTGAGTTACAGACATCAGCATTAGTACCCTTTACTTCTATGCACTTTGGAATTATATCATCAATTAGGATTCAATATTTAGATTACATTTATTTATTTATTTTATTATTTTATTTTAAGACTAGTCAAGTGCAGTAGTGAGAAGGGGGGAAAGAGTAGAACAAGGAGTTTAATCTGTGAACAATCAATTGAGGTAACTCACTACCTTCAGACCAGCCTAGATTACATTTAATGATCAACTATGGTTGTTTGATGATCCAATTAGTAAAGCTGATCCTGCTCAAGGTATTCCTTCATATACTGGTAGTAGTTCTCAAAAAGGCTTCATACAAAGTTCTAAACAATGCCTACAATAACATGTCTGCCAATTGCTATCACCTCTGGATATACGGTATTTTTATTTTTATTCTCTACCTATTCCAGCTCTCTCTTGTCATATGGCATAACTAAAAATCCACTTGGCAAAGTTATACCATTCCCACTGCCCATAATGGTGTGTTCAGTGTCTGTATCATAGGTATTGACTCCCTGTGTCCTCAAAGCTTTTGCCCTCGGGGAGGCAGAACATTGCTGAGTTCCACATGGGGATAGGCAGGAGGGTGATCCTTACCTATCCTGGGTCCCTGAGCTCTGCAACAGCTCACCCTGCATCCAAAGCCTCACAAAATCTGTCTGTTCTTGATTTTTACTTCGCTAATTACAGAGGACTTGTCTCAATCAAAGGCACTGGAAGGCAGCAGGCCCCATCAATTAATCTTTTCTTCATTTAAGCAAATTTTTGTCCTGGAACTCAAACTTCTTCTTTTTCTGTCTCCTGGATTACCAAAAACAAAACCAAACAAAAACAAAAAACAACAACAAAAAGCAGAAACTTTGTATGTGAATGATATAAACAATCGTGGAAGGGGAAATGTGGAGAGAGGGGTGACAGTATCTTACAAACCTAGGCTGATTTAAACTCAGTCAGGCAAAAATGCTGTGGCAAACATGGAATTTCAGTTATAGGAGTTTAAATGGGAAGAGGCAGATATGTGAAAGGTAGGAGATTCAGCATGCAAAAGGCCAAAGGATATTCAATAGAAGGTGGTTTATAGTAAAATAAAACATATCTGAATCTTTAAAGACATTAAGTTTATTCTAGAAGACAGAATGTTTAAAAATATATATTGAAATTTTCCCAAGAAATATTTTATCCCTTTAATAGTATTTTGTCTGGTTGTTAAAACCCAGGCTTAAAATGTATAGCTTCACTAAGGGGGATGATTAATAAATAATATATGTGTCGATTGTGTTACAGGTGGTGTAAAAAATGCTAAGGAAAAGTAAGAAAACTTGAATCAGTTATGTGAAATTCCATCCGGTAGGAAAAGACAATGTTGTGTCTGTGTGAATAAGAACAGTATACTAAGGGGTCATTTGCTCTCTTAAATCTCCCAGAAGTCGGGAAGTATACAATGAATGGAAAGGGGGTACTAAGAATAAGTTGCCAGGTCGAAGAAAAAAATATAATGCCTCCTTCTGATTAAATGAAAAGTCTGTAGGAACTAGTGGTTATGAAACCCCACATTGTATATGGAACATCATCTACTTTTTAGTCTATAAGTAGAGCTCAGAAAAAGTTGAAAAAATGCTTTCAGTTTATATATGGAAGGTGAGTAAGTATTCAATTAGGAAATTTTTAAGAAAAATTGACAATAGGGAAGTTACCTGATTGTAAATGGGTGTTAGTATCTCCTTACATTTTGCTACACCTTGTGTTGAATTCATTCAAACAAAAAACCTATGATTCTTTTTGTTCAGTCATTTTAATTCTGGAATGGAAATCCTACCATTTCTGACAACATGGATGAACCTACAGGATATTATGCTAAGTTAAATAAGCAAGTCACAGAAAGACAAATATTGCATGATTTCACTTATATGAGGTATCTAAAAATACTAGGTTGATGCAAAAGGAATTACAGTTTTTACCATTTCTTTCATTGGCAAAACTGAAATTCCTTTTGCATCAGCCTAAGTCAAGCTCATAGAACCAGAGAGTTGTATGGTGATTGCCTTGGCTGGGGAGAGGAAGAAATAGGGAAATTGTCCAGTCAGCATAAAGTTTCAGTTATGCAAGATGAATAAGTTCTGGAGATCTGTCATACAACATAATACCTATAGTTAACAATATATTGAATATTTTAAAATATGTTAAAAGAATAAATCTCATGCTAAGTAGTCTTACCACCAAAAGAGCAATCAAGCAACCAAACCAAAACCCACAAACCCAGAAAACATCAAAAAAGAAAACCCACAGAAGAACATTAGAAATTTTTTGGAGATGACAGATATATGATATGCATGTGTCAAAACTCATCAAAACTTATATATTAAATAACTGTAATTTTTTGTATAGCAATTATATCTCAATAAAGCTTTAAAATATCTGCTTTTGGATATACCTGTTTAAGGAAAATCTGGGCTACTCAAACTAGGAAACACCATCTAATGGAACATTTTGAATGTGGCTATAGTACTTAAAAGGAGAATAACAAGGTCTTCCAAAGAGAAACCTTAGACATCCAGCTCATAAGGTAATAGCAATGGTAGCACCCACATGCATCCTGCCTGGTCTCACACCAGGCACTCAGCCTGGGTTCTCCCATTACGTTTCTGAAGTGTCGACCAACACATGGTGCCCTTCAAGGAGAACTCCACTATCAGGAGCCAGGTCCTCAGGAGCTGTCAAAGAAGGGACTTGTAGTGGCATGACCTTTCTAGTGGACCTCAGGGGACCCTCCCACCCTTTTCTTCCCCAAACATGAATGAGGTATTCTGGGGACCTTGATACTTGATACAAGAAGGGGAGAGGAAAAGCCACAGCCCTTCCCTGGCAAGTGTGATTTGGCAGATATTACTTTATTTTGATTGCAGCGGATATGAGCAATATGGCATGATTTTTGAGTAGCCAAGAATGAGTTTGAGTCCATCTTAAATCTCTATTTTTTGTTTCCATTTTCTTTGCTTTAAATTTGTCTGCTTAGCCTTTTCATGGAGACTTTAGGATATGATAAAAAGTGTTGGGCGATGACAGTCCATCAGCTGTGTCTCCTTCCACAAAACAACTTCCTTGTTCTGTATCTCAATTTCTCCACATGAAAAATGAAGGAGCCAGTTGATTAAGAGAATTCCGAGTCCTTCTGTGGTCTCAGATTCTTTCTATCTAAGATTTAGCCCTGTTAAATGTTAAATTATTTGAGAAGAGATCAAGCATTGCCAGTCATCTTCTTCAGAAGGGAAATGTCTGAGAGCTGTCTCAGAGCATGGATTAGGATGGAGAGAGTACTTGAGAACCTGGAAACTGAGAAGTATGGGAATGGCTAAGGCTAAGGAAGGTGGAGTGGCCAGAGACAAACTTTCTGCAACTTACATTGGCCCTAGACATCAAGCTTAAGCTTAAAATAATTATCAAGCAGCCATTGTCTTCCCAATGTGTTGTTCATGGCAGATAGAATGTAACAGAAACTGTTTGGACTCCAGTGGCTGACATGCTTTTCACTCTGCCACCTGTTGCTTCCCTCAGCCACTTCTCAGCCAACAGCTCTGTGGGGTTCCCTGAAGCACAGGTGCAGTGGAAATTTCTCTGAGTCTTCTTACCTTTGTGTGGTAAAAATCTATTCTTTTGTGTTTCCAGAACAGCATGCTCTCTTATTTAGGAAATGCTCCATTCTTTACTCTAACTATGTGAATCACACAAGTACTCCATCTTCCTGTAGATCCCATCTTCCTGGTCTTCACTGACTGGCAACTGACCAACATTGGGCCAATCCTGGTACCCCATTTTTTGGCCACATAACATCTGGGTTCTTCCTTGGCATTTTTTAAAAGTTGGAACCTAAAAATGTGATTTTCATCTTCTTTGTGGCAAAAAAAGCTGGAACATTTGAAGAGTAGAAACAACCAGTGGGTATTTTTTTTTTTTATTCCACTTTGTTGAAGAAAAGAATGCTGATAGAAACAATCATAGACAACAGAGAAATTCTTGGGATCATGGGAGTTGCTTGTCACAGTTGTGCCTGTGACCTGTGACTTAGCTGCATCCCTGCCTGCTCTCCCGATGGATTTGAGAATCTCGTAGTGAATTCATTTATGGGTTCAAGCCATGTTACCTGCTGGGCTTCTGCCACTTACAACTAAGATATTCTCATTAAGAAACGCTGGCACTGTAAGTCATTCTTCCTTTGTGATTCCATTCTCCACATCTGTAAAACGAGAAGGTTCACTGGATTCCAAAGTTCCTTTTAGCTTCATCATTCTGAAAAATTCAGACATGAAGGCTCTGAAAACACTTGGAGAAACCTTATAAGGGAAGAAATGGAAGACACTTATTTCAGGATTGCACACCTCTGAGAGGATTTGGAAGAAGCACAAATATGCATAGGACTAAATTAAGATGAATGCCCTTGATTATTTGGTCATCCTTATTTGAGGCCCTGTCTACATTTAAGAGCAATAAGGGACAACCGGGTAGAGTGCTGCTTAACCAGTTTGGCATTAAAAAGTCACAGACTGAGAATCAAATTAACTACTGATGTAATCATTAAACATCTTCCTATTTGGAAGGCTCAGTCCGTTCATCTGTGAATTGAAAAGCCTGGGTTATTTGACCTCTAATGTCCCCTTCAGTTCCAGCATCTTATGAGAGCCTAAAAAAAATTCCGCAGTTCTATAATACGTAAAGCTCACTTTACGTGAATTGAGAGGGGAACATTTGCAATAGGATAAGTCCTTCCAAAGTCCTTCTAAAGCAAATTTATAGGTACTAGGTGTTCCTCAG